GCCTATAGTGGTAGACATCTTTCTGCTTCCTAAGAAAGAGTGGTGTCTGGGCAGAGCAGCCCCCTCCAGGATGAGCATGGGCTCTGGCTGCTCGGAGACACCTGGTACTGGCATTTCGTGAGTGACAGCACTTGCCTCTTACCCACATAGCCTTTGCCTCCTGGACAAAGCAGAGCCAGGGAGAGCTGACTGCTGACTTTTGGTGCCCACAGTGGGATGGCCTGTGGGGGCATCATGGCATAGGATGGAGACAACACCAGTGTGAACATACTCCTAAGGGCAGCCTGACTGAAGAAGGCAGCTTCTGGGTCAGTGACCCTGGCCATAGTTCTCCGAGGGCTGAGGTGAGTGGAGCCTAGGGTTGGATCCAAGACACACTGAGCACAATGGCTGCCTCAGTAAAGAAACCAATAGGTGGCCAGGAAGTAACTCAATTACAGGCTGCATGTTATTGGCTTCAGGGACCCTGGGTTGGAGTGGATTTCTCTTCAGCCATCGATTTCTCTTCAAGCTGACATAAGGAGGCACATTATAACTCAGGAGCCTCTGCAAGGGGCCCTGTGGCTAGCACCCTGCCCAGCTGTCTCTTCTGGGAGTGGGGACCTTCCTTGGGGTGGGGTGTTCTGCTGTTACAAGCTGGTGGGGGTGGAGCTGAAGCCCCTAGGAGGCTCAAGCAGTGTGAGCGGTGCCACAGCTATGTGGAGGGAGCTTTGGTCAGGAGCTGCTGTGGCCACTCTGAGTGTGCTCCAGGTCATCTTAGAGAGGGGGAAGGCTCAAGGGTAGCCGCGGACCTCCCCTTTGTTCTGGGGCCCATGTAACTCGGGACTCTTCTTGGAGACACGTTCAACTTTAGGTTGGGAGGGTCTCTGGCTCTGTTAACTGCCACATTTGACCACATTGCTTCCTGATCGAAACCCAGTAGTTCCCCCGAGTCCATGGGGAACAGCAAAGGCTGTTAACATTAATATCCAGAGAGCTTTGGGGTCTGTCCCCAACTGGGGCCCTTCCACTGCTCTCTCCTGCTTGTCCTCCTGCTTGTCCTGGTCACAGGCAGCCCCCACCAGGGCAGTTCCCTTCTGTAGCTCTTCCTGAAGGCGTTTGTGGACGTTTTGCCCCTCCCTGTGTTCTGGGGGCAGCATCTTTGCTCTGGGCCCCAGCATGGAGCGTTTGTGGCACTTAGTAAGCAAATCAATGCAGAAACGATGACTGGCAAGCCTTGGTGCCTCTGACGGAAGCCGTTGCTTTCTGTAGACCGCAGGCGGCTCCTCGCTTGCCTCAGGGCTAGAGGGGAACATTGGCTTTCTGATCAAATATTATTCTGATGCGCAAGGCATCTTTGATGTTTGCAAGTCAGAAAAGTTTAATTACATGTGTCATTAGGATGGCATTCTCTAATAGCTCTGTGACTGAATTCATTAACAGAATTCTTAACAGATAAGACAAGACAAATTAATATTTTGTTGCCCATGAAAGCGGCTCATTAAGAGGGTAGAGAAAATGTGATTAATATTTTCTTGCCAATCAAGATGTCTCTTACAAATGACAAAGAAAGGAGACCCACACCTTTTGGTGTTTTCTGATCTCCCTGCCCCGGGTTTGGAAGGCTGGTCTGATTCCCCGGTTGGAAGCCATGTTTGGGTACCAGGCATTAATTATAGCTCCGTTGATTATATTTCAGCACTCATGGTGGTGGGGTGAGGGGTGCTGAGATGGCTAAGAGGCTCTGGAAACTCTAAGAATCTCAGATCTTTACCCCTCCTGGCTGTTTTCTCCTGACCAATTCTTGCTTATAAATGCCCGGGGCCTTCTGAGGACCCAGCTATTGCCCTCTTTGGCCTGACTAACTCCTGGAAGTGACCTCCTCAATGTCCTGGAGGGTGGAAATGCTGGGCAAACCCTCTGGATGTCCCACACTGAGCTGGGTGTCTCCCACACGTGGTCAGCTTAATATTAATGATTTTAGATATTAGTCTCAAATCCCAGCACAAATGGTTGAAGTGCCTATTCCACATATCAAACTGACCACTGGCCACTAGGTTCTCCCAGCTTCCCTCAGTCCCTACCTGTTACAGGGTTCTCTTGGCTGGTGTGCCCCACCCCCTACCCTAAACTTCTCCAGCCCAGGGACAAGGCATATCTTCCCCCAGCTGCCTTTCCCAATATAATCAACCATTTGGCTACCCGTCCTCTTTGGGCTTCCTGGCTGCTCTCTCCCCTCTTCTCCTAGCCCCTCCTCACATGGCTCAGGGTCATATTCACTCTGGACTCTCCCAGATGTCTCTGCCTCTGACTATCTTTTCCCTTTTATCTACAATAAACTTTCTCCTTCACCATACCTAGGAGCAGCCATGTCCTTTCCTTTTTTCATTCAGTAATAATAATGAATAATAATAATGAAGATGATAATGGCATTCATAGACTAGTCTATGCCAAGAATGTTGCACACATCTCTTCACTGTAAGTCTATAAGGCAAGTGTTCTCTCTCTCATTTAGCCCATCCCATAGATGAAGAAAATTTAGACTTTCAACAGTCAAGGGTCCTTTCTAAGGTTTCTCAACTAAGTGGTAGAGCTGAGACTTGAACCTAGGACCCTCTGAACCTACAGCCTATGTTCTTCATCAGCAGGTGTTGCTCCCTCTCCCTGACGTGGAGGAGGCAGGCATGGGCATTGCATGTGTGTGTTTGCATGCAGTGAGGACCCCTGTGGAGGAGGTGCTGCCCTGCACCTGTATCTGGGGCTTCTGAGCAGCACAGACCTGACCCCGCCTGTTTGCCGGCTACTGGCTCATCCATGAGCAAGTGTTTCCGGGGAGGTAACGAGGGGCCATTAATCTCTGGTTGCACCCACAATTATCCAAATTGCTAACCTGATTTGAAAAGGAGAAATGCAATCGAGTTGGTGCTGGGAGGCATGTTTGAGTAATTTAATTAACGGATGGCAAGTGCATGAAGGAGAGTGTGCTTCTGCTTTTATTTCGGATGTGTTTAAATGGAACACCAAGTAATGCTGGGGAGGTTAGTCAGTCACAGTGGCCCTGGCCTAGCGAGGAGCCAGTCACAGCAGCCAAAGGCATGTGCACATGGATGCCAATTACAAGAGGCTCTGCATCCACAACCCCACATACACACGCTCACACTCCACACACACATGTACACACATAAATACATATACACACTCAACCTTAACACACACACTAGACACTGAACTTTCTTGCTATGGTCTTGGCAAGGCCTGGCCATCTCAGGTCTAGAGGGTGAAGGAATCTGCTCAAGAGGTGTCTGTCAGGCACCCACCAGGGCAGTGCCTCACTGACATTCAGAGATGGATTGGGAGGATGCTGGCTGTCCATACCACAAGGGGGAAATCTCTGGGAAACAACCCTGCCTTGTGTGACAAGAGGACATTCCTCAGCAGATCTCCCAGGTTAGACGTTGCAGAGTGGTCACTTTTCCTAGCTGTTTCTCCTGTGACCTGTAGGCTTCACTCCAAGGGGCCTAGAGTCTTGAACCTCCACTGTAATGGTGCCTGTAGTTTGGGCTGGACTACTTATACCACAATAGTCTCAGCCCTGGCAGCAGCTTCAGATCATGGGTTTAGCTGCTGTCTTGAGGCTGCAGCATGGCTGCCCATGGTCCCTGCTTCTGCTTGCATGCTCCTAGGGATGATGGGACTCAATCTACTATGAGGCAGGCTCAGTGCCACAGCCGTGTCCTATCTAAGGAGCTCAGATCGGTCTCCTGTGTGGTCACATGGATCATCACCCTCCACCTCACCTGGTCTCTACCTCCTTACAGATGGTCAGGATTTGACCATTCATCCCAAGAATCTTCTCTGATGCAGGCATCTCATTGCGGGCCTAACTGTTCTGTCTGGAGCCAAGGACACCAGGACAGTCTCCTCTGCTTGAAAACTCTGTTCCTGTTATTTTAACCCCAGGACCCACAGTGCTCCAGTATCTCACCAACATGGGTGGCATTGCTGACTTCTCCCAGAGGTGTCTGGGCAATCATGTCTACCCTATGCCAAAGCTAGACCAATTGGTATACTTGAAATAGTCCATGTCTTATTGCAGTTCGGTGGAAGGGAGGGGGCAGCCCAGGTTGCTTTCTTAGAGATGAATTTACCAGGGATCAGCAGGCCAAGGGATTAACCAAAATCCCAAAGCTGTCAGGTTCCTCGGGGTACAGAAGTATCCCCTGTTGGTCACGTGAGGCTGTGTGAAGTCACCCACCTACTCTCTTCTGAGTAGATGAGGCATGTGTGTGTGGTGTTGGGTGTGTGGGCTTGTGTGTACAGAAGCTCTCATGGTTGGCATCAGTTTGTAAACGCCCTTTGGACACTGTGATTGGTTTCATGCTAAGCCAGGACCACTTGTGACTGAATAACCTCTGTGTCTATCTTTGGAGGGAGGTGGCTTGAAATTCTTTGAATCTTCATCTCTTTACCCAAGAAAGAAGATCCTTAAAGCAAGCCTCCTCTGCCTTCCTCGGCCCCCTTCTACCTCCTTACCTGTCACTTATCCTCCACCCGGCCAGTCATTTTGCTCATTTTGCCTTCTGCAGGGACAACCCATCTGCCCATACTCTCCCTAGCTACAGAGCTCCTGGCCAGCTTTTCTCTCAGCCTGGCTGTGCTCTCTGACAGCTTGTGGCCCATCCCTGCATCATCCCTGTGAGGGATGAGACTGGGCACACACAGCCTGGTCCTTTCCAGATCCCAGGCTTAGCTTTGCTAAAACAGGGTCCTGGCCAGGTGCCACCTGGCCTGGTCATGTGCCTTCTGGTCGGTAACCCCTCTCCTTTGACCGGACATAACTATCAGGCTGATGACTATCACCCATCTTGCCCTCTGTACAGGCATGGACTTGGATCCTCTAAAGCTGTCAGGATGAGTGTGGACCTGTTAAAGGGAAGCCCTCTGCCACGCTGCCACACGGTGTCCTGCATGCTGGCATTCCCAGGATACCTTGCATTCAGAATGAGTACCGGGTGACTTACATTGATGTCTTCCAGGCCCAGGAAGCTCAGAGTGAGCCCATTGCGCTTCCAGATGATTGGTGGCCTCAGGTCTCCACGAATAGCGCAGGTCAGCACTGTGCTCAGCCCCACGGTCACTGTGGTCACACTGACCTCATCTTCAGGGGCGAGGCTCAGCTGAATCACCTCTGCAGAGGGAGAGGAGAGAGCCGTCAGAAGCGGACTCAGGGGCCAGATCTCAGCTCTCGGTGAACAGACATGGGTTCACTCGAGGGCAGGGCCAAGGGGGGGGGGCTTTGGGCCCCCAGAAATGCTTTATAACACCAACTAAATGCACAGGTAGACACCTTTGCTGGGTAATGGGTTACCGTGGTGTCGAGTGTCTGAAAGGCTCTCTGGGTCAAAACCAGTCAGGAGGAGCCACGGCTAAGGTGAGGGAAAACATTGGACCATGGCTTTGGGAGTGGAGTTGAGAGCCCCAGTAGTCAGGGCCCATGAGCCCCACCCAGCAGAGCGACCATGGAGCCAGCTGTGGGGTATGCTGCTTGGAGCGCTCTGGTTAATAAAGCTGGAACTTGCTGAGAGCGGTCAAGGTCCGCTGGTGAGCCGACAGGTATGCCGTCCATCTGGGGGTAGCTTAAAGGTTGAGCTGTCTGTGGTCTGGAGCGGGAACTGGCTGACCTTTGAAGGTCTGTCTCTGTCTGAAGATGCACTGAGCTTGGATTTGGATTTCCGCTCTGTGACCATGCACTGTGGCCTTTCATTAGTAGTAGAATTTTTTTTTTTGAAGTATACTTCAGGCTGGCCAAGTTATGAATCCTTGCCATTTTCACTTGCTAACCGGCACGGAGACTGGTCATTCTTTAGGCAAACATACCAGGATCTAAAATATTTTTGCACCACCCTTCCAGGCTCCCTGAAATCCTCATGATTTATGAAAAATTAATCAAACCCAGGCTGTTCAGTGCAAACATGGGAATGGGCTGGAGTGGAGGGGAGTGGGATGGGTGGCCCCCTGCTCTTCCTCTATATCCACTCAGGGGCTGGGGAGGCGGGTTGGCTTCAGGTGCGGGTGTGTCTGTGTGTAGTCTAAGGTGCTGTGGAAACTGCACGGTGCTATGCTATCTTACTATGCCATTGTATTGGGCATAGGTGGTCCTGATGGGTGTGTCTTCCAAAGAGTCTGAAACAAAGCATCCAGCTGGGAGCTGAGCTCCATGGGATGCTGGGATTCTGGGATGCTGGGAGCTGGGAGCTAAGCTCCACAGGATGCTGGGAGCTGAGCTCCTTGGGATGCTGCAATGCTGGAAGCTGGAGTGGCCACCGCCAGGGTGTGGGGGAGGGGAAACAGGAGCCTAGAGAGGTGCAGGTGCATCGCTGCAGGGTGTGAGTTGGAAACATGTGCCTTAGGTCAGATCTGCAGCAGCCGAGACCCTTTCTTGCCATGTAGTGGCCCTGCCCCGGGCTTGTGACGATGAACAAGCTGTACGTGAGGCATTTCCTCAGTGCTCGTTGGATGGATAGATGAACAATAGAGAAAATGAAAATAAAGGAGCCCACGAGCCAAGAGGCCGGTGGGGAGGGGCAGTCACACAGAGGAAAAATGTGACTCGCGCGAAGGAGCCAGCGTGAGGAAAGATAAGCACCGGGTGATGGATGTGGACACGGCTGGTGCAATATTTCATAAACATTATAGCGGTGCATTTCAAGTTCCCTCTTAAATCACGGTCGGCCTGCTGCCCTCCCACCTCTGGGCCAGGACTGTTATTGCTCAGGGCGGGAAGAAGAGGTGCGGACTGTGGAGCAAGACCAAGAACCAGGTTTTGGAGACTCAGAGGAAGGGGAGGAGGGTATGTTGTGTCGCGGCCACCCTCGTCCAGCAAGGAAAAACGCAACACCCGGAGCTCTTCTTGCAGCAGTTTTCAGGACTTTATTTACAGTAATTTATCTCCTCCTTCTCTTTCTCTCTCTTTTCTTCCTCTCTCCTCTCTCCTCGGGCAAACCTCTCCAAGCCCTTAAGTAGGCATGGGCTGCCAACCCCGAACTGCCAGGTGGGCACTGTCCATAGGTTCACCCATATGCAGGCAGCTGATAATCATTGCGTCATCATAGCATAGGTCAGGCCTTAGCCATCTCAGGAGTTGATTATACATCTCCATCAGGTGTGACACCATGCAGCTCGCTACAATGTTGGGAGGGTGTGTGTGAGGGAGAGGGTGAGGGAGAGAGGGACAGAGAGAATTTGCTGAAATTGTTTAGTTCTCACTGAACTTCGGGGCTCTCTATTGGATAAAGGGGCTCCTCCTCATTGAATGACCACTGTGCTCTGGAAGCAACACCCCTCTTGCCCCAGGGACGGTGGGAATAAGAAGGGAGCCTCTCAGGTGTGTAGAGGGAAGGATCCCAAGGGGCTCTGAAAGATGTTGTACCCTGCCCACATCCTGTGAGTCAGATCAGAGCCTGAAGAGGTGCTAGTGGTGGGGACAGGCTGGGCGAGGCTTGGGTGGGTGACAGGGCTGACCAGAGTAGCCTGGAGGTCCTGCTGGGTGGAACTAGGCAGCGGAGAGAGGCAGCCAGTCTGGAGGGCAGCTGGGATGCAGATACACAGGGCATCTCTGTTCATACCCAGAACATTCATGCCTATGGACTGTGGAATCACCAGTGTGGACCAGGCTTCCCAATGGAGGGGATGCCCGGTTGCCACTTTCTCAGTGTCCCGGGAGAAGTGAGGCTAGGCACAAAAGGGATCATCACTTTCTCTGCATCTGACTTCCATCAAGACCAGAAAGACAGGGCAAAGCAATCAGCTTGGAGTGGTCCTTGCAGAAGACAGGGCTTCCCCTGGGCTCGAGAGCTCTGGTTCTCTGCTGTGATTTCCCTAGCTACCCGAATCACAACCCTAGGTGATTAGCACACAGTGCCTTTTCTCTGCTTGGGCTGCTGCAGACTCCTGTGAGCACAGAAGCATCCTAGAAGCTTCTGTGGGGCTTGGGGACCCCTGCCTTCCAAGATAGGAGGGGCCTGGGAATCTGACAGCGCAAAGTAGAGGATGAGAGACAGGCGATTTGATGGATTAGAGTTCTGGGCTGCAAGTACTAGCTTTCATGTAGGCTAGGGTACCAACATGAGCTGCAGGAGCCCCTCCTCCATGGGACCCCCAAGGTCACAATTTTCACAGAAGGTCTTCTGGAGGCTGGAACATGGGGCCAATACAAACAAGGCAAACATCCTAGGGTGAAGGCCGCAGGAGCCTTCTGCTGCCCTCCTGGCCTGGATGGCTTCTTCGGTTGAGTATGAAGACATATACTTGGTGCAGGAAAAACCCATGCAAAATTAGAATGCGTGAGTACCCACAGAACCATCGTAATTCCGCTCCAGTCAGCTACACAAATATTAAGCAAACAGCAAATATTTGGATCATTTAAAGTTTAATTAAATGAATGTTTTATTGGATTTAATTCGTGTCAATATTCCCCAGCTCCTTTTAAAATTCTAAAGAGATTTATGGTTACTGAGCCTTCTTCTCCCACCCTTGTTTCTTTATTTACTGTTCAGCAAGCTTTCCCTGGCAATCCCTGCTTCCAGGCTAAGTGGGAGGACCAGGCAAGCTAGGTTTCTGGGGTGAATTCTTGGGGGAGGGGTGGTCAACTGGACAAGATAGGACCCTTACCTCTGAACCTGGCTCAACTTCTGAACAGCGGACTGGCCTTGGGGAGGTCCCTTCCTTTCCTTAGACTTCAGTGTAGATGTCAATAAGGTGAAAGATGTGGCTAGGAGCCCAAGGGACCCGCTCTATTCAGTTAAATACTTGACAAGAAGCTGCCTGCGGTGGGAGGGTTTATTCTGGCTTGGGGCTTACTAAGGGGTATAGACTGTCATGCTGGGGAGAGCATGGTAGCAGGGGAGTGAGGCTGCTGAACACATGGCATCTGGAAGCAGGACAGACAGACAAATGCTGGTGCTCGGCTTCTTCCTTCCTTTCACTCATGCTGGGACCCCAACCTATGGGAAGGTGGTTCCCACAGACAGAGTGGCTCTTCCCGTGTGCAGGGTTGAATGAGAAATGTCTCCTCTGGGCCAGGGTATTCGAATACTTGGCTCTCAGTTGGTGGTACTGCTTGGGGAATTTTAGATGGTGCAGCTTTGCTGGGGGCCCGTTGCTGGGATGGGATTTAAGATCATACAGCCTGTTCTCGCTTTCAGTTTTCTCTCTCTCTACTCTATGCTTGTGTTGGAAGAGGAGAGCTCTCAGCTCACTATCGTGCCTCTCCACCATGATGGACTCGTATCCCCCTGGAACCCCATAGACCAAAATAACCAAAATAAACCCTTTCTTCTATAAGCTGCTTTGGGTTTTGGTCATGGTGCTTTATCATAGCAACACAGACATAACTAATACATCCCTCCTCAGCTAACTAATACAGACAGAACTAATCATCCCTCCTTAGCTAACTAATACAGACAGAACTAATACATCCCTCCTCAGCTAACCCTCCCTGGAACCATTCCCACAGGTGTGTTTCAAACCAGTCAAGTGGACAATGGAGGTTAACCATCACCCATAGACTGTTAGATTCTACATCTCTGAGCAGATAATTTTGGGTGGATGCCCCTGCAGAACCCCTCCATCTTTCAGGTGGTGCTTGCTGCACTTGCCTTGCCCCCATTGCTATCTGTCTCCAAGCAGAAGCATCAGGGATTGCCGTGCCTTACAAGCACGTCCCTCAAGGCGCCTCTCCTCTTGTTCACTGGCTCCTACACAGTCCTATCTTACCGTGGTTTCAGTGTGAAATGTTTCCCCATTGCTTCCCATAGGCTTTTGGAGGTGGAGCATTGCTGGAGAAAGTGGGTTCCTAGGGAGGGCCTTCAGGCTTCATCGCCCAGCCCCACTTCCTGTTAACTCTGCTATCTTCAGCTGACTTTGGGCTCCTGCCACCATAGCTTCCCTGCCTGAAGCCACACCTTCCCCGTTGTGATGGAATGATCCCTGTGGCTTGTGAGTCATAATAAACACTTCCTCTCCTAAGTTTCCTGTCAGGCATTTCATCACGGTATTGAGAAGAGCAGCTAATACATCTCTAATGTAACCAATGCCCCTTCCTCCCGTAAATCCTTCCCTTCCAGAACAAAGCTGCCAACTGCTGTCACCCGCAGATCCAACATGCAGAATTGAGAGGAGTCCCTGATT